ATTTTATTCTTTTTACTAAAACAGGGGGCTATTAATTTTTTTACTAGTTTGAGAGATGTGATGGCTGGTATCACATAACAGTGTACAGGCAAAAGGAACAGGACAGAGAAGGGGGGGGGGCGGGGCTGTTATGCATGTGAGAAAGAGAAAAATGTTTGCTACCTACTAAAAAACAAAGTTACATCATTTGCTTTCATATACGGTTTTAAGCTTCAAGTCCCAATGGGTCAGAGCTACTGTACTAGAGATAGGGCCATTGGATAACCCATCTTCATAAATTTTACTCTGTAATATTTTCACCATAGCTTTAGGGTCCGTAGTCTAGTTCATGCTGACAAGTGTTTGTGTGGTTGCAGTTCTTATCAATGAGACTTGCCGCTGTCAACCCAAGAATCAATTTTAATCTTGATGCTCTCTTCGCCGTCGAAGTATGACTTTACCCTTGTTCTTAATACTCCATGCATAGTGTGTTAATTCATCTCCGGATGTTGATGAGTGCTCTGAAATTGCAAGGTTATTGTGGGGATATATCGCGGCCTAGGTCTGTTCTTAAGGGGGATATATTTTAGGTGGATCAGGGGGGAGGCCTAGAGCCTGGGGGATCCTCAGCAGATTCTTAGATCACTGGTTTTGATTAATGGCAATCTATTTCATGAATTTAGGGTGTGAACTAAATCCCATGCCACTGACTGGCCCAATATAGTGACACTATTTGATCTGTAGCTGTCCCTGCCTGAGAGTTGAAAATGACATTTTTAAACAATCAAAATGGCAGAGCAGGGATCTGAATTTGTGTGGACCTATTAGGGTCTGCCTGTGATCATTTACACCTTGACCAATCAGCATCATTCATTATACAAGGACATCTCATAATCTTGTCCCCCCTAGGGGGCTGCATCTGTCAGACTCTGAATCTCAAAGTTAATAATTTCTGTCTTGTGTTTGGGAAATTTGCAGAGTGACTCCCAAACTTTGGAAAATAACATCACTGGGACTATGATAATGCCGCCCTCAATGTGGGTTGAAGAACAAGAAGAAGAAGAAGGGCAAGGTAATAAAAACTGTCAGCAGCAGCTGTGGCACCAGCATTGTGATGAATTTCATCAATCCATGTGGACTAGGGAAGATAATTGTAGCTTCATTCCACCTGAGACCTCACCATTAAGTTACAATGAACCCACCGCTAATTCTGGTGAGTTTCCTATGCTAGAAAATCCACTAAAAATGGAGTTATGAGAGCAAAAGCAAAGCTTTTTGCAGTACCTAGCTAGGCAGGCGTGTACATATATGAAAATACTCATAGCGGTAGATAGCGGCTGGGTTTCTGCGTTTCCTAGTTAAACAGAGAGCTGAACACTGGCGGTAATATCGGCGGCAGAGCGGTGGAGCTTAAGTTTATGATCTCTGTTGCACTAAACTTTGAATGAAGTATACTAACGTACTTAGAAGAGCGGAACAGCCACTGTACCTGTGTTATATTTTGCTTGTTTTGTATGGTTCATTCACAAACAAAACTGAGACTATCATTTTATTATTATTATTATTAGTATTATCAAAATATCTTTTTTGACCTTAGAACCTTGAGTCATATTATGACCCGGGACCCAAATAATTATTGTAGTCAATCAACGAAATGGGGGGAGGGCAGGAGGTGCTGTGGTGGGGTGGGCAAGTAGGGGGCAGGAAGGTAGGGTTTAGTCAAAAGATTATTGTAGTCAAAAGATCCTTGCCCTATTGTTGTTATTATTATCATTATCATTATCATTATCATTATCATTATCATTATCATTATCATTATCATTATCATTATCATTATCATTATCATTATCATTATCATTATCATTATCATTATCATTATCATTATCATTATCATTATCATTACTATTACTATTATTATTATTATTATTATTATTATTATTATTATTATTATTATTATTATTAGAATTTAGAAAAAATTGTATGAATTTTCCATACTTTTTCTTCCGTGTTTTAATGTTTTATTTGTCAATTTTGAGATCCAGCAATTCCAATGGGCACTTATTTTAAAGTTATTTACATAAATAGTCATTAAGGTCTTCCATAAGTGAGTAAAAAGTTTTCAAACTTTTAAAAGTTGTGAAATAATCCTTATAATATCAAAGAAGTGTTGCATAATCTCAGAAGTGAAAACTCAAAGAGTGTGTGCATACCCACTAGAATCTTGAAAGTGATTTCGATGATTTGAGCCCACCAACTATGGAAGCACGAAGAACCAGAATAAAAATACTAAATAACTCTTAGATAGGAATTTAATATCACTTGTATTAGCTTGATTTAGTTTGGATTACAATGGAGGCTTCACCCCCTATTTATAGGCTACGCACTGCTACGTACAGGGCATGTAATTTTGTCTTAGTTTCTCGCCACAAAGGCTCCATAGAATTTTTAAATAATGTCGTGTACTTTAGACATAGCTTTAGTCCATAGATTAGTGCTCTAGTAACATAGATGAGAACTATGATGTTCTGATTGTGAGACTATTACAAATATAGAGACTAGATCTAAAACATCCTTAGTCGAATATTATGATAATACGGACGCCATAATTTATTAAGACTAATACGTATGAGATAAGATAGCTGCGTCTCATAGGCTATAGATAAGGCATTATCTGAATCTATACGTAGACAACCATATTGGATATATATTACTGGATTGACCCGCCATGAAAATACTATATGGGTATACCTTGAAATGTGTTAATAGTATTTTCATACAACCATTTATGTAACTATCCTTAGACTTGAAGTCATTACGATTCTTGGTAAGCATAGGTCCATGCTTTGATATATAATTAATGCCTTTTGAAATATTAGTGGACGTATAATTATGTTTTGGGCATGTAGAAACTTAAGCAAGGATGTGAATGATGTAGACAGAATTTATCCCTTCCTTTATGAAGTGTAAATATCTATAGGCCCACTGATTGATGTGACATGGGAAGTGTATGGTCATACCCAATAAATTAGTATACATGATATTAATGTTATCTGAATCCCACAAGTCAATCAATATAATTAGTAAACCTTTGACCTAACTTTAACAAGGTGACACATACCATACCTTGTGTTAAATCTAGATATTAGTAAATAGGGATAATAGTTATTAAATGAAATGTGTCGTTGAAGGAATTGTTCTAAGAGCTTCGCATCTATAACTTGGGGGTGACAATGTGTTGCTAGATACCGCTTGTCACTTGTAGTATTTTAATACTAAGGCCAACATTATGGGTAACCTAGAAGAGGGTCATACACATATAACATTTGATGGTATAGAGTATTGTTAAGGAGTAAGTAAAATATTTGTACATATTGCGTATGACACACTATTATAAAATATATATATTTGGATATTTTAATTATATGATAATTAAGTTTGTCAAATATTATACACTAAATATTTTTTGTTTATATGTGTGTGTGTGTGTGTGTGTGTGTGTGTGTTCGGCGTATGCTTATATATATTGAATATACATATTTTCATGTAATGTATATTAAGACATGTTAGGATATGTATTTTGTGTTAATTATTTGATAATTAAAGTTGACAAAATAAATTGGAAGATACCAATAGTGGTAGGGCCGAAATTGTGCAATCAAAGTAGGAATGAGATTTGATTTCCTTCCTAAACATTAAAAGGCATATTCCCAATTGGATTAGGATTGGGGATTGCACTCCTTATAAAAAGGAGATCATTCTCTCTTACATCAAACTAGAGATTTTCGGCCCTCCCTCCTCCAAAATTAAGTAACCAAATTGTTTTGTTCTTTTAATTCATTGCTCCAAATATTTTATATTTTAAGAAAATATTCTTGAAAAGTTACTAGCATGATATTTCTCAAAAACACCATTCAAGGTTCGTTTGTATGCACTAGAGGTCATATACTTTTGTGCCTAAAGCTCTTAAACCAATCCCATCAGCCACACGTTGTTGCTTATTCGTTAAGAAAGTTATATCTCTAAACAATAACTCATAGTTTTCGTAAGGGATCTTGGGTGGATTTACTTTCGACATCAAAATTTTTGTATTTCCGCTGCCCAATCCAAGCGTAGTTCCCTTCAGTGGCATCGGAGCCTTCTTATGAAACTATAAATTTTGTAGATTAAATTATCGTTAGGATTTTTTATAATTGATAAATTAAATCAAATATGTATGATAATTTCAAAAATCCTTAAAAATCATAAATTTGTAAAAAATCTGATTCTAGACTTTATGCAATTCGAAAATATATTTTTGAATTAAAATTAGGTTAAAATTTTAGTTTCCCATTTTCCGATTAAAATCTGATTAATCGTGAAAATTATATTAAAACTATGAAAATTAGATTTTTTATAATTCTGAGTACTTAAGATATGATTTTAAGTGTTCTGGAAAATTAAAATTGTTTTTCAAAAATTGTTTACCTATTGATTTGTATTATTGGCTTTTGTAGTCAATTAAATTTAACTACAAAATAAATTCCAGATAAATAAAGAAAAATGATTTTAAATATTCTAGGATATTGAAATATTATTTTAAAGACTGTGGAAATTTAAAATAAATTTTGGTAAGTTAAATTCTAATTTTATGGATTTAATTTTTCTAATTCGGCTTTGTTATTGATTAAATGGGATTAGATAATTGAAACTCAAAAATATAATTTTATAAATCTGGAAATCTGATTCTAAGAATCTATAAAGGTTTTGGAATAAAACTTCTTATTTAAGAATATTATTTTTGTAATTTTTGAAATTCTATTTCGGTAATTTCCGAATCACTGAAAAGAAATTTCTAAATATACTTATTTAACATTTCAGAGTCTGCTCATTATATTATGAAAATATTGATTTTCGGAATATTAATGATATACAAAAATAATTTTGGAAATTAATTCTTGATTACTGAATAGATAATTGAAACTTATGAAATTGATATTTTATAAATTCTTAAAATTTGATTCTCGGACTTATAAATAAAAAATACATATTTTGTAATTTTTTTATTAATTTTCAACAGGTAAAAGTATTTATTTTGAATTAAAATCCCATTATCGAAATAAATACATATATTTACGATAATAATATTTTAAAATATCTGAAAATTCAGAATTAAATATTCTGAGTATTCTAAAGTCTTAAAATAGATATTATAAATTATTTGATATTTTTTAGACTTGTAGTTTATTTTATTAGAATAAACTAGGTTTGGGGCGAACGCGACTTGCCCGGAGTATGGATTTTATGCATGTGATGTATGTACGTTTGCATGGTGAATGATTTTGGCTTAGAATGTATGGTTTTTAAATATGACCTGCGTGTCTTACTTATCTCAAAACTCTGGTTGTAAATCTCTTCTTAAATCTCATACCCCTTGCTTAAGCAAGGATTCTTTTCTCTCGATTGAACAAAGAAGTCCATGAAGAAGTAAGGAAGAAGAAGACAATGGAGAGTTGAACTTGAAGGTTGAAGCATTCCAAAAGAAAGAAGATGAAGCTGGAGATGGAGATCTCAAGAGAAAGCTTTATCATACAATCATGACACGTTTTTATTATACATGTTTGTATGATTAAATGTATGCTTGTATGTTGATTGCTAGAGTATGTGCGCGACACATACAATTTTTTACAAACTAACACACCTATTACAAACCAACACACCCATTATTATTAAAAACTATCCATAACTTCTTTTAGAATCTATTGAACAATTTTTTTAAATAACTAAATATGTAAAATACAGTAAACGACACCATAATAACTGACCCAAACATTGACTCATTACCCATTTGGTTATATGTGAACAAACCTTATTAAATCACACCCCTAATCATTTTTTGTTCACACCAATCTTCACAACAATGCTTGTTCATCATCATCTAAAATTAAATTTGCAATGTCTTCCTTTTGATCCCATTTTGGAAATTCATTCACAAAATGCCCAAGCTCATTGCACTTGAAACACGTAATATTGAAACAAACCACCATCCTGCAGACCCCCGACCTCTACCTCGGCCATGTCCAAAGTCTTCTCGGTTTGAGCTCTTTCTTCTGTTGGCTTTTTGATGCATTCCTTGAATTCTTTCAATCTTCCGACTACTTCATGCGATAGCATTGTGTTAAGTTTGGCAAACTATTGGCTATTCTCCCTTGTAGTCACAATCAGTCTCTTTTTGGTTGTCTTTCACTGCACAACATTAATTCCTTTGACATTTTTCACAAAGTTCTTAGACTTTAATTCCTTCCTGTGTCGTACTGGAATTGACCTTCAACCAGAATACAACTCCATGCTTTTTCATTTTCCAATCCGCTAAACAAAAGCTACCCCGCTGATTCATTTTTCATGCGCCTTTTTGTTGGAATACTTCTGCCCAAGAAAAAAAACTAGCAACTTGATGTTCTTTTTCTAGGTGAGAAGGAATCTGGTCAAAGATTTTTGATCTATTATCAAGGAAGTTGGAAATATTGGGATAAAGTTTATGGTGGTCCCGAAGTGGTGAGATACAGAGTCTA